CCCCTGCCCCGGCGCCAGCGCAGGTAGGCAGACTCACCTCTCACCTGAAAGCCGCCACCGCAGTAATATGTGTTCTTTTCCTCACAGGCCCAATCCACCAGCTGTTTGTTACTTCTCAGCACACATTTATCATCATCATATACATATTAGACACAAATACATATACACACATACAAAGTTTGTCTATTGGACCCTTGGCTTGTTTCTGTACGCCCAGAGTGCATGAACATTTCGTAAAGTCTTTTGCAGTGCGTTTCAAATGGATCAGTGACGTCATTCCCCTCCCCTCTGTAAAATTAGGCTTTGTTGGGTTTCCTTTGTCTGCTTTCTGTTGGGTAGCCTTCTACTTGATAGTGTATAAAAAGCTGCAGCCCTATTTATAACAGCACCATGCAGGAAAGGAGCATTAATCTTGGGTGTTAGACTTGCTACTTTCTTTTAGAGAGTTGCCAGCCGCAGTGCTTCCGTGGGGGCGGAGTTCTAACAATAGGAACAGGCGATGCCAAAGCCGGGAGCCTTACCTCTGCCGCCGGGCACCGCCAGGAGCGCTCGCCTTGGCCTCTCGCCTCTTGCCTCTCGCCCTGTCCCGTGGGCTGGGCTTTTTGCATTCCTGCAGCTGCCCTGAATTCGGATCGGTTTTTAAAATCCTTTATCTTGTCCTTGGGCAGCGCTGCCTCCTCCACACTGCTGGTCATTACGTATCTTCACTGCGACATAACTAAAGAAAAATGTGAAATTTACTGTTATCCGTGGTGAAGATGTCTACAAAAAGTGAACCTTCTGCGCAGGATTACCTGGGAGGCCGGGATAAGCCTCCTCCTGCACGTGGGGGAAGAGCTGCACTTCTACTCCAGCCTCTGACAAGGCTTCCACCTGAAGGGAGATGCTGCAGAGTGGCCCTTTGTTGGGGTGTCACTCAGGGCTTTTCCTCAGTGTTTGGTTTTGGGAAGTTATGACACGATCCTTATGAAGCCCCAGCATAATTGTTTGTATGTGTGCTGTAGACATATATATATTTCAAGTTAGCCTAACAACTGTTTACCAATTTAATTTCATTAAATTATTTCCCCAGTCAATACTAACCATGCTGTGAAAGACTTACAGGAACTTATAGGATACACACTTACAAAAACTGAAAAATTGCTTTTTTCATTTTGTGTTTATGTATTATTATAATTATTATAAGTATACTGATACGGTAATGTATCTGTAAATATTTTTACATCTCAAAAATATTCATTTACATATTAAAAATATAGTTGGTGTTAGGTTAAAATTGATTTCTGTCTTATATCTAAATCAGAGAGTAAATAACGCTGAGTAAAGCTTTGAATTACATCCAAATATCTATGTGTAAATTGAGGTTAACCTACAGCTTCTGATAAGTAGTAATATTAGTAGCTAACATTAATTGAGCATTTTCTAAGGGCCATATTCTTGTCCCAAGGACTTTATAGGAATTATCTCATTTAATACTCTCATCAACCGTGAGGTAGATACTATGATTATCCCTGATTTGCAGATTGAGAATGGAGGCACAGGGAGATAAAATCATCAGTCCAGGTTCACATGGCATGGAAATGGCCGATCTAGAGTTCCAGCTATAGTTAGTTAATAGTGAAGCCATGATTCGTCACTATTTTCCTGCTGTTTCCTGCCATGCAGTAGCACTCAGGTTAAATTCGGACATGTGTGCTGTTATATATTTGTGAGCATAAACGGTTGCTTGAAAACACACATGTAAATCTCAGATTCCTTAATTTCTCTATAGTTCTCCCATGTTAGTGACATTAGCTGGCTGACATAAAATAACTTTAGCAAAGATATACAGAGGTAATTATGGATATATTCTATAAGTAAAACATAGCTCATCATCTAGAATAACACAATACATTAATATGTAAAAAATGGGTAAGAAAATGAGACAGATTGTCAAATCTGTATATTAGGCATAAAGGACAATTTTCATATATTGATAATATAGTCAATGATTCACTCTCAGGAGACTTGGGTTTAGCATATGATGAAGGCAAGTCACTTAACCTCTGAAAATGATTAGCATTAATCCTCCCATCTGGGAAAAAAAAAGTAGGTATAATAATGTCTCTTCTTTGAAATAGAAGTTAGACATAGTTGTATGTATAAAGATGATTATGACATGATTTATAATTCCAAAATATTAGATGTATCCTGAATGTCTAATAGGAGAACGATTAAATTCCTAATAGTCCACTTACAAGATGAATGCCGGAAACCATAGTCATTAAAAATTATCTTTCTGAGGAATGCCTAATGAAAGAGGAAACTGTTCGTGATATACACCTTGGTGTTGCTATTGTGCATGTGCATGTTAGCTACTGTTTAGAGTCTCAACTCAATGAGAAGCAAGCCTGACACAGTTTTATTTTTCCGGTCACTTTCCTCAGTTTTGATCTATCGAAATGTATGTTTCCTGCTGGGTAGCAGCTCCCTTAACTCCTTCTCTGCCCAGAGCTTCTCACTTTTGTATATTCAGAGGGACTGTTTGATTTGGAAGATTTGGTTGTATTTATAAAAACTTCTACATATAACCAAATTAAGATTTGGTGAGACAGACCCTGGAGTTTGGAGTGGAGGGTGGGGCACAGTTGGCTTTCATGCTGATCCTCTGTCTGCCCTTCTGCCAGGGAACCATGGCGAACCATGGAGCAACGGTGGGGTGGAGAGGTGTCCTTGCCTTACAGCCTTGGCAAGACTGCAGTGCTCTTCTTGGTAGATGATTGCTATTCTGGTTGTCTCTGTGGGTCACCAGTGCTCCTAACAGACCCTGTGTTCCCTTAGGGATTGGGAGGCCTTGAGATATAGCTGCACCTCCCAGTTCACCTCCAGTTAATAACAAAAGGCTCCATTCCTCAACCACAGGTACCTCTTTTTCCAACATTGTGGCAGTCCTGCCCTCTACTATCAAAGGCTGATACCTATTTTTGATCCTAGGTGCCTACTCCTGTAAAATTTCCCCATCATCCCTGTCCCGTTCACCCTTTCATTCTCTGAGGTGAATCTGAATTTTAAAAATGTAAAGCAGTTGGTGTGTGAGTGACTGATGATCTAACCCAGTGGTTTTCAAATTTTAGCTTGCATCAGAATCGCCTAACAAGGTGTGTTAAAATGCAGCTCGCTGGGCTCCATCCCCAGAGTTCCTGATTCAGTAGACCTGGGGCAGAACCTGAGAACTTGCATATCTAACAGGTTCCCAGGTGATGAGGAAGCTCCTGTTCCAAAATCACACTTTGAGAACACCAATCTAACACACCGAGAAGGATTTATACCCAGAAAAGGAGCTTCTTACCTTAAATAATTCTGTAATTGGGAAATGATCGAAAAAGAGTTTCTTCTTGAGTTTCTTTGTCTTCTCCTGGGACCTCCACTGACCCATGGAAAGATGCATTATGTCATGGAACTAGAGTGGCATAGCCCCCCAATCCCATCAGCCAACTCTCACTCCCAACTGTGAGCTTTATAAGCAACTTTGTACTTTCCACAGAACCATAAAAAACACTGAAGGTGGACTGAAAGGCTGCGGTCAAGTGGATGAATGGGGCCTTACCGTGTGCCAGGTCTTGTGCAAAGGAGGTTACCTCATTTGAATCCTCATAGCGGATTTATGAGGAAGGTTCTAGCATTATTGCTTACAATGTGGGTGATGAATAAGGGGGTTAAGTAACAGCTGGATTTGGAATAAGTCGGCCTAATTCTGTGGCCTGATTCCCCGCCATGGTGTTACTGCCTTTCATCTACAGATAAAAGTTAGGCTGGACAGCAGTTGCCTAGCTCGTGCTGACAGGTTACTGCTCAGAGAGCGTACCTGATGTGGAAGCTGAATCAGAAAACAGAGGACTTATGTTCTCTCTCGGGATGCAGCCTGTTTATGCGGTAAGGCCAGCTTTTGCTGTTTAGAGGCTTTCCCTAAATATCATTCAGTGATACTTGATACTCGGATACCCTCCCCCTTCCAATCAGAAGCAGGTAAATCATCAAATAGAGTAATAAATATTAACTTTGCCGTTTATTCTCCTTGTGTCCTCAAGGAGCGTTTGCGCCTTTCAAGTTGCCCTAAGGATTACGGTGGGGAGGATTGCTTGTATTCTTGGGCTTTGGGGATCGACAATTCCTCAGAATGGGAAAGTATTCTCTCTTAGTGGGAGGTCTCTGATCCTGCCCTTGGCACTAGTTTGGCACAAATAATATTTAAAACTATAAAACATCAGGCTCAAAGTATGGAGGTTCTGCTGACTTGTGGTAAGAGAGACACATCTGTACTTGATTTTGAGGTGCACTGGAGATAGAGGTTGTCATGAAATTACTGAAATAATGACTTCAGTCCTCACAACCCAACAAGATAGGTATGATTTTCCTCACATTATAAATATAGAGACTGAGAATTAGAGAGATTTGGAGGCCTTTCCTAAGGCCACACAGAGATTCAAAGTCTAAGATCTGTCTTGAACTCTGCGTTACCTCGCATAACTTCTTACAACATATTTTTCTAAAAGTAAAAATGAAAAGAATTCGTGACTATTTCCTTATTATCTGATGTTTGTTTTTCCCAGTTGCATGCTAACTAAAATGCACAATTTCTTTCTCACCTTCAATTAATTCCAAAAGAATTTCTAATCACATTTAAGGTTAAGCTTTTAAGACTGAACAGGAGTTAGTCCAGCAAAGAGGGCGGAGAAGTGTGATTCAAAGGGAGTAAGGAGAATGTTTAGAATCTTAAGTTGTGAAAAAGCTTGGCATGTCTAAAAACCTGAGATTTGGCTGAAACTGAATGAGAGAATTAGAAAGGAAAACAAGAGAAGTAGGAAGGTAGGCAAGAGTCATTAGAATTTTTAAAAAAACAGTACTTTATTTTACACATGATTCTATGGGTCAGAGATTAGGGCTGTTCTCAACTGGCATTTCTTGTCCTGGACTCACTGGAGGTCACTCAGGTAGCCAGCACAGGTTGACTGGGCTGGAGGGCCTAAGATGGCCTCTCTCGTACGTCTGGCCACTGGTGCTGACTGTAGGCTGGATCATGCTTTCCGGTAGACTCTGTGTTTGAGTTGCTTAGACTAGGCTTTGTTACACAGAGTCACAGAGCAGCATCGCAAGACAGCAAGAGCAGAAAATGCAACCACTGCATTCTTTTGGTCAGAGCTAGTCACAGGACCAGTCCAAACTCCAGTGGTGGAAAACAGACTCTGCCTCTTGATGTGAGAAGGGGCATCTTTTATTTGGCCTTGAGAATTGTGAACTGAGCTTGAGTAGATTTTAAGTTGAGGATACTTTGGGGCAGGGAGGTAAGGATGATAAAACTAGGGGATTTTACAGTAGGAAGTAGAGGTAATGGCTTGGTGGGGGAAGTGGAGAACAAGATTGGAAGATGGGTTATCAGTTGGAGTGTAGTGTGGAGTGTTCTGCTCTTTGTTGCCATATTCTGTGTTTCTTTTCAATGCTTCCAGGATCCTCCAGAATCCTCAGCTATTTTTGTTTGTTTGTTTTTACCTTCTGCCTTCTAATGATCTCTTATTTTTATTCCTATTCTACATTAGAAAAACAGCTTATAGGGTCAGGACACTGTGGTAGGTATTATGATTATTAAAACATGTGTATGAGCTTTGAAATACATAGGTCATTTTTATCCACTGCATCTCATATGTATTTAAAATGTAAAATTTGGCAGAGCCAACATGGCAGTGGAGTAAGTGGATGTTACACTCACCTCTTCTCAGGACCAAAATGGAATTACAACTAAAATATACAACAATCAACCTGAATAACAAACTGAATACCAGCTGAAAAGAAGTCTTAAAACCAAGGGTTTATAGGAGAAGCCACATTGAGACTGGTAGGAAGGGCTTTGGTACGAAAGGGCTGATCCTGCTCCCACGGGCAGTAGCTGAGATTTAGGAGGGATATCTCAGCTGCAGAAGCTCCCCTTGAGAAGCTGGGGTCTCAACCCCAAGCCAGGCTCCCCAGAAGAGCAGCAGAGCCAGGAAGAAGTGCCCACATAACATATGGCTGTGAAAATCAGCAGGGATTCTGACTGCCAGGGAGAAACACAGGTGTTCTCTAAAAGTCTGCTAGGGCCCGGGTGAGTGTGGCTCAGCAGTTGAACATCGACCTAAGATCCAGGAGATCATGGTTTGATTCCAGGTCAGGGCACATGCCCAGGTTGTGGGCTTGATCGCTAGTCCGGGTTGTGCAGGAGGCAGCCATCATTGACACTGATCAATGACAACTCTCTCATCATTGATGTTTCAGCTCTCTCCCTCTCTCTCTCTCTCTCCCTTCCTCTCTGTGAAATCAATAAATCAATAAAGATATATTAAAAATAAAAATAAAAGTATCCTAGGACACACGTGCTCTCTTAAAATTTGCTAGGACACAGGAGTTCTCTTAAAGTCTGCTAGGACAGAGGTGCTCTCTTAGCTGCTAGACTTGGTATGCCTGGGACATTTGCTGAGTGGCCTCAGACACAGCACGGGCACTGAGTTTGAACCCATATTGATTTGGTGAACACCACTCGCTCCTACTTGGTAACTCATTGAGAACCTACCTCACACAACTTATGGAGTACCACCAGAGACTCAGTGACTGAGCCTAACAGGCAGTCGGCAGGCAGAGGCAGATGGAGGTGGATCTCAGTGTGCCTTGGGACTTTTGCTGACTTGTTCCCAGGCCTGATGCTGGTAAAACCACCTTTGGTGCACAGTTTCGTCCCTCCTGCCCACACCCAGACCCAGCAGGGGTCGCCACAAACTGTGGATTGATTTCTAGCTCCAAACAGGTTGCCCATGGCCAGTCACAGGCAGTGTATGACATTGGCTTGCACTAGAGCCTCCCGCAAGAGGCCCCAAAACCAACATACTCAGTGGCCAGCTTCAGATAACATCAGAGCAGGATACAATTAGCTTCATAAGTCGCGTATCCAAAGGGAGATCTCGGTAGGCACCAGACCTTGCTGAGGCAAATTCCACTTTGTGTGATTACCACCTGAAAAGCAGCTTGTACACTGTGATCAGGGTAGATCCTCACAATTAGCCAGCCTGAGGCTCGACTGCATGCACAAATGGACCACTAGCAATCAAGAATCAATCACAACAGGAGGGCCCACAAAACCCACACAGGGGAAATTCCTGGAGCACTTAGCTCAGGTGATCATGGAGACTGTGCCTCTGGGTCCCACAAAACACCTACTATGTAAGGCCACCTTACCAAGACTGGGAGTAATAGAAGACCTACCTAATACACAGAAACAAACGCAGAGGCAGCAGAAATGGGGAGACAAAGAAACATGTCCTAAATGAAAGAACAGGAAAAATTGCCACAAAAAGAGCTAAATGAAATGGAGGCAAGCAATTTATCAAATATAGAGTTAAAAAAAAAAAAAAAGTCAAAGGTTAAGGACAAAGAGAGAATCTTAAAAGCAGCTTGTGAAAGACAGTTAGTTAGCTACGTGTTTTATGCCACCAGTGACATTTATTTCAGCATACTTTATTTTTTTGAAAATTTTTATTGAATTTATGGGGGTTATATTGGTTAATACAATTATATAGGTTTCAAGTGTACAATTCTATAATACATCATCTGTATACTGTATTGTGTGTTCACTACTCACAAGCAAGTCTCCCTCGACCACCATTTATCCCCCCTTCACCCTCTTCTACCTCCCCACACCCTCTTTCCCTCTGTTAATCACTATACTAGAATTGATAAAATAAATTCAGTAAAGTAGCAGGCTACAAAATAAGTATACGGAAAGCAGTTGCATTTTTATATACCAAAAATAAACTATCATAAAGGGAAACTAAGAAAACAATCCCATTCATGGTTGCTTCAAAAAAACACACCTAGGAATACATTTAACTAAGGATCTAAAACACCTGTACTAAGAAACTTATGACATTGAAGAAAGAAACTGAAGAAAATACAAGTAAGTGAAAGCATATACCATGTTCATGGATAGGAAGAATTGACACCATTAAAATATCCATACTTCCCAAAGCAGTCTATAAATTCAATGCACTTCCTATCAAGATACCAATGGCATATTTCACAGTACTAGAAAAAAATATTCCAAAGATTTACATGCATCCACAAAAGACTCTGAATAGCCACAGAAATCTTGAGAAAGAACAGAGTTGGAGGAATCATGCTACCTGATATCAATCTATACTACAAGGCTGTAGTTAAACAAAACACCATAGTACTGGCATAAAAACAGGCATCAGATCAATGAAACAGAATAGCCCAGAAATAAACTGATGTGTTTATGGTCAATTAATATTTGATAGAGGAGGCAAGAACATACAATGGGGTAAAGATAATCTATTCAGTGAGTGGTGTTGTGAAAATTGGACAAGATACATGCAAAATAATGAAACTAGACTACCTTCTTGGACCATAAACAAGAATAAACTCAAAATGGATTACAGACTTAAATGTTAGACTCAAATCCATAAAAATCCTAGAAGAAAACATAGGCAGTAAAATCTCAGACATTTCTCAAAGCAATGTTTTTTCTGATATATCTCCTTGGGCAAGGGAAACAAAAGAATATAAACAAATGGGACTACATCAAACTAAAAAGTTTTTTGCAGAG